ATGGAGGGGCCAGAAAGCTGCCTGCTTCGGGCTGCTCCCCCAAGACCAGGAGACTCAGAGACTCCAATATCCCTTAATTAAGGGTTTAGGGTTTAGGATTTAGGGTTTAGGGTTTAAGGGTTTAGGGTTTAGGGGGAGACTCCAATATCTCTTAATTAAGGAATAGACCTTAAATCATATTAGGGATCCTACTATAATTTAAGGACTACTCCTTAGTTAGGGTTTAGGGTTCAGGGTTTAGGGTGTTAAGGAATAGACCTTAAATCATATTAGGGATCCTACTTTAACTGAAGGTCTATTCCTTAATGAAGGGATATTGGAGTCTCTGGGGACTTGAAGTTGGAAGCTGACGTTGGCTGTCGGGTTTCCGTGACCTATGGGCGATCCTTAGGCTTGAGTTTCAGCGGGCATATATATAATATAGTGTAATGTAATATATATATATATATATCTCTCTCTCTCTCTTTAAATACTATGATAGAACTGATCACAACATAACACAGTGTGGTATGACAGAATATCATATCATCTCATCTCTGTAGCGTCGTTGTAGGGTATTGAAGGGCTCTTCTGAGTTGTCAGTGTTTGGGTGTCCGGATTCAATTTTCTCGGCCCCAGAACACGCGGTGTGTGTTGTAGGTGTCTAGGGCTTTGGGTTTACGTAGGGTTAGCGATCAACCTCTTGTTCACATGGAAGGGTATTATTAGTTATGTAAGTGTACCCAAAGTTTGACATTCAGCGAAACCGCATTCTGGACTCTTGCGAAGCCCGTGTAGCCTTCCAAAGCAAGGGATATTCGCCACGAGTGTTCGCGGAGGTATCAAACCCTAAACCCTCATCCCCGAACCCTAAGGCATCTTAAAACCTGACCCCTAAACCCTAAGCCCTCATGCGAGAAGTGAACTCGAAAACGTATAAGCCGTAAGCACGTAAACCCTGAGCCGTCATCCCCGCAGTGTAAACCTTATAGTCCTTGAACCCTCAGCCCTAAATCCGAAGCCCTCTTCCGGTTCCCACCCTAAACCCTAAACCCTAAACCCCTAAACCACTAAACCCTAAACCCCTAAATCCTAAACCCTAAACCCTAGACTCTTAAATCCTAAAACCCTAAACCTTAAACCCTAAACCCCCAAACTCTAAACCCCTAAATCCTAAAAGCCCTCATCCGGTTCCCATCCGGTGTCCGTCCCCAGGTCTTTCTCGAGAAACTGGAGGCCACAGGCGCCCTCTCAAGCCGGAATCGAAGATTTGAGAGGGGTTCTTATAAAGGTTCTGAAAGGGCTCTTTAAAGGTTTCACATGGATGTTGGTTGTAAGGTTTTTTTTCATGGTTCGCCCTACGAGTTTTACAAGATTTTTGGGTTCAGGCACACTAGAAAGGTTTTTTAGGTTCGGGCATGGCAGCTTTTCGGGTTTAGGGATATTAGGGTTTGGGGTTTAAGGTTTTGTTTAGAAAAAGGTACCTGGGGATCCAAAAACCTACCGTTTTAAGGCTCCGACCCTCCACTGAAGGGGTCGCAACCTGCTATTGTGTGGGTTTTTTGGGTTACAGGTAGGACCTGGGTCATGGGTCAACCCTAAACCCTAAACCCTTGATTTAGTACTCGTGGGGATTGTAGGTTGAAGGCAATTTTTTCCAGGAGCCTCGGGCCTTCAAAGGCTAAATATAGGGGCCTGAATAATTAGACTAGGGGTTTTGAGCGCCTTAATAGTATTATCATACTAAGGAACCCCCGGAATACCATTGGCAATTGTTTAGACCCTAATCTTATGCCGGCTTTCCGGCTTGACAGGTGTTGTTTGTAGTGCTTTTTCAACAGGATTTGTAGGTCTACTTAAACTTGTGAGCCGGAAGTTGGAACGGAGGGTTATCAGTAAGGTAAGTACCGTTAGAAGTATGTATAACTCCGATTAAGATTAAAGGGGTTTAGGGGTTTAGGTTTTAGGGTTTAGGGTTTAGGGTTTTGGGTTTAGGGTCGTTCGGTAATGTGTTTTTGCCGACCGGAAACACCACGCACCGTCACTGACTACATGTGTTCAAACCTTGTTGAACGTAACTACCTCACATTGTCACCACACCCCCTGGGTCCCCTTTTTTGTCCCGAAGAGAGTAGGGTTTAGGGTTTAGGGTTTGGGGTTTAGGGTTTAGGGTCTAGGGTTTAGAAGTGTAAACAACTACCAATCTAATATTACTGTTAGGGTTCTTCCTCATAAACATACTATAAGGGAACCCAAAACCCTATTCTAATCATTAAGGCCCCGACATTACGAAGTCAACTCTGAACCCAATAGATGCCAGACCCCGAACCCAATCTGAACCCTGAATCCAGACCCTGAGCCCTAAACCCTTCCGCACCTGGCCCCTACCAGCCCAGAAGACCTGGCTTTTAAAGGATCTAGATATGGAAACCAGAATAAGGAACCCCAAAAAGCGACCATAATAAGGAACCCTAGTAAGAACCATAAGAAGGAGACCGAAGAAGGTAGGTCTTTCCGGCTACAACCCCAAACCCTGAACCCTAAACCCACCCAAGCAGCCACCGGCGCCTTCCGTCAGACACAGCGCTGCCCTGGGCCTTGCAAGCGGAGGACTTCGAGCGCTCCTGGTTGCCGAGGTGCGGACTTCAATACTTGGAGGATCATGGGACTTAGTAAGTATAAGGTTATAAGTACCCGAATTGGGGTTACAATTATAATCACCTTATTTATAACCCTAGTTACTAAGTCCCATATCCTCCAAGTAGTCGCACAGGGTCCTATTGATATGGGGTGGATACAAGCTTCCCTAAATCATAAAAATCACTCTTATTGTGGAAAACCTACATTTTACTATATATATATATATATACACACACTCACACACATAGGACTCTTAGGGCGTCTGCAAAAAAGAGTTCAAGGCTTTGCCCTCGCTGCACCTTTGACCTGAGGTTGCAACGCTGCAGGATTGCCGCCTTCTGGGTTTGTGCATGTAGCCTAAACCCTTAACCCCTAAATCCTAAACCCTAAGCCCTATAAACCCTAAACCCTAAATCCTAAACCCCATAAACCCAAAGCCCTAAGTATGTAGCAGATGATCGAGTTTGCATTTTCTCTCTCGGCTCGCGTTTCAGGCTGGACATCTGGGGGATCTTCAGGCTCTGCTAAACTTCTGGGCTCAGTTCCTTAGTTCTCCAATAGCCAACCTTTAAACTCTTAAGGGTTCGTAGACTTTTAGTAGCAATCTGAAAGTTTAGCCTTTAAGCTTTTTGGGTTCTTATAATTTAGAAGTAATCTGAAGACCTGTTTAACCTTTCATTTCCCTGGCTTCTTGGGGAATTAAGTTTCTTGCATTCAGGCCTGAGACGTTGTACTATGCTTGAGAGCATACTATACTGCAGATGTTGTCGGACGAAAGTGGGGGAGCTAGACTGAACCCAACTCCCACTAGCTATAATTCCTATAATTCCGAGTGATCCTTTTCAATCTAGTAGCTTAAATCCTAAACCCGAAACCCTGAGTTTCGTTGGAACCCAAGGGCTTAGGGTTTATGGTTTCGGGCTAACTTAGGGTTTAAGGCTTTGGGTTTAGGGCTCGGGGTGTTAGTCTGGTTTATGAAATCCGGCCTCCTTACAAATCCCTAAGGGTCCATGTAGGGTTTAGGCCTATAACTCTACAATACTTTTAAATCCAAGGGTTTAATGGTTTAGGGTTATTGGGCTTCAAACCCTAGGGTTTAGGGTTTATAAAGCCTATAGTAGATACTTTGGCTTTAAAGTAGTCCCTATGTAGGTACTTCGGGGCCAATGTATATTCTTTATGAGTACATGGACCCTTAGGGAATACCTTGTAGAGCCCCCTAAACCCTAAACCCTAAACCCTTGTTTAGAGCCCCAAGAACAGCCGATTTTGCCCCTGAGCCCTAAGCCCTAAGCCTCTCATAATTCTGCTTTAGAGCTTCGCCACAGTATCTGATTTGTTTTGATTTTTTAGGCGTGCCTAAAAAATCAAAACAAATCAGATTACCCCAAACCATACCCAAATCCCCCAAAAGTGGGTAAAATCATGGCCCAGCACCTATAAACTCCTTTTGTTCTGCATACGCTTGGGGTCCAGGTAAACCCTAAAATCACTTCATATTTCTGCCTCAGAGCCTTTATGAAAATGTACAACCCTATGCCTAAACCCTACTTGGAGGATCATGGGACTTAATAACTAGGCTTATAAATAAGGTAGCTATAATTGTAATCCCAGTTGGGGTACTTATAACCTTACTTACTAAACCCTAAACCCTAAACCCTGGCTCAAGGCTCAAGCTGTGGTTGCCCTCCGCGCGCTCCCTCGCTTGCAGAGCTGGCATTGTGTGCGGCTGTTCTTTGTGCTCGGGGTGATTCTGCAGTGCTAGGGTACGGTCGGCGGGAGCTCGCAGCCCGGACGGTCCTCGACTACACGATCCGGGATTACTCCGACGACTGATGTCCGGGCCCTTGCAGTTGGGGCAGACCCGCAGAGGGGGGCCCCCTGGCCTGCCTGGCGGCGGAGGGGGGCCGATGGTGCCTGGGGTGCCCGAGACTTCGGGGGAGGACTCCAGTCCGAAGCGGCGACGCAGCGGGGCAGGTGGAGCAGAGGGGCCCTGTGGGCGCGGAAAGAAGAACAAGGCACCTCCGGATGGCTTCGATTGGCAAGTGCTCAAACAGCTGCTCAGTGAACAGAAGGAGGCGATCGTCCGCGAAACTATAGTTTCGCGGACTAGTGCAGTCCCTCGACAAGAAGGTGGACCTCAAGCTGCAACAGGTAGACCACACCATGCAAGCGATGACTCAGAGGATGCAGGCGATGGAAGACAGGGTCGCCAAGATGGAAGGGGACAGTACTGCCGGCCGTGGCTCGGACATGGGAGACGGGTCGCGCAGACGCACCACCTTGGTCTTCGGGGGATGGGAGATGGACACGCCCAGGCAGACGATTGTGGCTGAGGTTGAGGAAGCTCTCGCTAAGCTGGGGCTCTCTAAATTCACCGATACTGCCGCCTTCACGACTGGACCCAGAAGAAGTGTGGCCCTCATGAACTTTGCGCTTAGGCCTGGAGAGTCGGAGACAGATTGCAGAAGGAGGATGCACGAGATCGTGTCAGGGGTGGCCGCTGCTAAGCCTTTCACCTCGCACCAGCGCAGGATGTGGGCCACGTACTCGAAGACCAAGCAGCAGCGCGATGTGGCCGGCCACTGCTCCTGGACCAAACGTACCCTGGCGAGCTTCAACAAGGAACTTTTGCAACACATTGACGCGGAGTACGGCACGGGGACCATCTGGCTGGGAGACAAGGTCGTGGCTAGTGTTGCTCGTGCGCCACCGCAGGGGACCGAAGGGGAAGCAATGCTGTGGGATGACGATAAGCCAGGGACTCGGCCGTGGGTGGACCTTGGGGCGATCGCCAAGTTCTCGGGGATCTCGATGGTGGACCTTAAGGCAGGGTTTGGGGAGCATAAGCGCTGAACCACGGAGCTGGCCATGAACGAGCTTGACAGAATTGAGCTCGGGGTGCGGGATCTTGCTAATAGAGCGGAGGCCCCTCACGCCTGCGCTGTGCATGACTCCTTTTCATTGCGAGCAGATGCTGGTAGGGGTTCAGTACAGGGACCCCCGTCGGTGCCTGCGCCACAGGCGGCTATTCCGTTCACAGCTTGGAACCTAGGGGGCATTGCGGCTACCGACTACCCCCAGGTGGTGGCTGATGTGATGGCTCAGCTGCCGCAAGATGCCTTGCTCTCCTTTCAGGAAATGTGCAGGGATACGCCGGGATGGCAGACAGCTTTCCATGGAACTTGGACGACTTTGCAACACCGACATGCTGATGTTTGGCGAGGTACGGGTATTACTTTCAATGCTGCTCGCTGGAAGGTGATGCGAAAAAAGGCGACGGATAGAGGGATTTGGCTGAGGCTTCGACACGTCGGAGGGTTGCAGATCTGGGCGGGGACGGCTCATTTCACACCAGGGTGCACACAGCCGCAGCATGCCAAGGAAGTACATGACCA